GGAGTTGAAGTCCACCCATCTTAAAGCGGCCAAGGTGGAGAAACACTGTTCTAACTGAATCACAGCAATGTTCTTTCAGAGCCCTGGAACCAGGGGGGCTTCAAAAAAAGTCAAGTTGGCGGCTTCAACCACGTCAGTGAAGCCCCACCCCTTTTTTCATGCATTGCATGCACAATGCACGTGAAAAGACTCCTGTCGTGTGATTGCGGCCACCCTCGTGGCACCACTGCATGGCGTTACTCTAGATCTGGATAAAAATTAAGCTCCCTTTCGATGTCTGCATCAGAGCCCTTTGGGCATCCTGAGAATTCATAAAACATACAGGGAAACGTGACACCAAATATATCAGAAAACAGTAAGTATGTTTGTTTTTAAAAGGGCGCCCTTCCTTCGGATGATTTGACCAGAAAAAAGTATGGTATCAGGTTTATGCATCTTGGCATGGCGTGCCACGCTGATGCCCGTTTCTCTGATGATTACGGTGTTGCACTGATATATTCTAGATGTGAAATTGTTTGAGGGAGCTTTGCTTCTTTGGCATTTCCGTTTATTCTGCTTGAAAACTGCAGGCCCGCAAACCCTTAGCTTGGATTTATTTCTCAGTAAAGAGATTTTAGAATATGCTGCGATCCATGACAAGAGTGAAAATTAACTATAATTTCCACCCAGTTCTTTCACCGGTGGTTGTATTGCGTCTTATTTAATCATTTTAAAAATATTTTTCTGCTACTCTCTGGTAGCCCGCCATGAAGATTTAAACAGGCAATAACAGATCAATAAAACATAAACTACGCCATCATAACTTTGTGAGATTAAGAACAGGGAACAACATCATGCTGAGAATGTATCGGATTGGATACATTCTTACAACTTTCATTTAAGTTTCCCATGTGTTTGACCCACATCTGTCCTGCTCCAATCTCCTTTTTTTTAAAGAGGCCTGAAAATGCACACTGACATTTTCAGATGACATTTCCCCCTTCCCACTATATGTGTTCCTTTTAAGCTCTGCGCATCACCTGTATTTTTTTTTTTAGCTGAGAACTGACTTGCGTAATTCAGGACGTCACGTAATCGGGACTGTATTAATCCAGAAAGTGCACATTCGGGCCGGTTGCTGGAAAAAGCCGGTTGAGTTCCAGAATCCTTGGTGTGCAGATGTCTCCCCTGTGCCACCTCCTCCTTTTCAAGCCTTTGGGCTTTTGTGAAAATAGGTGCCACTGTTTTAGTGGCGTTTCTCCCCCTCTCCCTACGAAATGTACTGCGGTCCTCAGAAACAGAGAGGCTTACTTTGGGGCGAACATGGATAGAACCCCACATAATGGTGGTTCAGCAATACATTGGCTGGCTGACCAATCCAGGGAAGACCGCAAAGGGGTGGTTGCGTCTCCATGTTGTGAAAGGGGCTAAATACGAATGCTGGGAACAAACAACAGGAACCCGCAATTATCTCCCTGTTTTCTTTTCAAGTGTCCCAGAAACCTCTTTCTGCCGGTTGCCAGAGAACCGGCTGCTGAAAAGAAGACCTCGTGATCTGATCCAATTCTTGTGTGATTACTGCCTTTTATGCAAATCCATTTATCCTGCCCCTTGTAGATCTTACACCCTTCTTTGTTGAAACGCCGTCTCTCCAAAGAATCTTGACACCGCAACACGGGCTAGCAATTACGCAGACGCCGGTTGTTCCCCCAACCTGGTATGGCGTACGTTGTTCCTTGAAATAGGTCATGCTTAAGTTCTCCAGATTTAACTAGCTTGAGGATAAACACGCCGCCAGCGATGTTGTCTGCCAGCTAAAGCCTGCGGCTTGCGAATCCGAGGATAATAATGACTGCAATCATTTGTCTCGTCCCTTTTGTGAATGGCATCCCATTCGTTCCACTTGTGGCCTGCCTCCCCTCCCTGTCCCCCCACTATTGTTGCAGGGGGCCCACCGGAGGTCGGGAAGAGGCAAGAGGGTGACCCACATCATCCCTGGTTAGTTTCCAAACAGCTCTAATTTAATACTCGCGATTAAAAAGGCATTGGAATATTGCTCAGGAGACATGATGCTTAACATCATGCTAAGGCTAGTTGAGTGGCGAGTGTGGCTCCTGAAACCACCTGGCTTTGGTGCGGGTAATGACCCCGCAGCATTGATTGTGCCTGTGGAGGGCTCTGGATTCTGCTTCCTCGATCTCTTTGCAGTGCTCCGTGTCAGCAGTTGCAGCATCCTCTCTGTTCTGTCTGTGGCTTCCTGTGGTCTGTGTCCTCTCACGTCTGTAATTTATGTCCTTCATTCTATAAATGTCTTACTTTTGGCATTAAATATTCTTTCGGGGAAATACATTTTTAAAAATGGTTTCAGGGACCTGGCCCCATAGAGTTTTTGCTTCCTAATGCTCCTGGGACAAGTGTTGTGAGATTCTTCAAAACTAAGTCAGCTCCCTCAGGGACTGCCTAAAATTGACTTGGGTTTGCAAGATCTCCTTTGCTAATATTAACCCTGGAGGGTCCATTCAGTTGGATGGCTCTTTGCTCTGACAGTCCAGAGGCATTTATGCACAATCCCAACTTTGCCTCGAACTTTTTTGCTCCTTCTTTCCCAGATATTATAACCAAGGAAGAATTCTTCAGGAGGCAGTCCACAGAAACAATAATCTATTCACGAGAAAAGAATCCACACACTTATGAATGTATTTTTCCAGCAAATATCGGGGCTGTTGCTGCTAAGGTGAGTTTCCCAATCTTTTTGCAATGTGATAAAATGTGCGCAGTTGGCGCAAAATTGAAGAAAAGAGTATTTATTCCTCCAACGGTTTTTTCCTTTTTTTGTGCAAAAATCATCGTGGGCCATATTCTGTATTCCCCCATAAGGTCATCAACAGCTGAGACCACATCTGGCGTTGTTTCCATAGTCTTGTGAAATCCATCAGTTTCACCAAATCAGGAGCTAAGCCAGCTGCAAACTGTTTTTCTGCTCCTTTCACGCCGCTCCTGTTCTCTTAGCTGGGGTGGGGCGGAGAGGGGGTAGTGGGCCATGTGAGCAAAACATGTTAGTGAACTCCAACAACTAACCCTGTAGGAGTTTTAGCCCCAAACAATCCCAGGGTTATTTAGGCTTAAACTAACTTCCCCTGGTCTACAGTGTGGGCTTCTGGTGTTCTTCTTCCCCAAAAGATAATCATGCCTTCCAGATTCTAAGAGGGGGGAAAATTCCAGGGAAAAAAACCCTGGGAATTATCTAAGGCAGTGTTTTTCAACCTTGGCAATTTTAAGATGTGTGGACTTCAGCTCTCTTCTGCTTCCTCTTTCTTTTCCCCGTGGGGTCCTGGGAGCATGGGGGAAGGAAAAAAGCAAATTCATTTAGTCCAGCATGTTTAGATGTCATGGTCTATGGGAATGACCTTGGGAGACAGGAGGGAGAGCCACAGACTGGACAACTGGTGTATAAGAGGTATCTCAGCCCACCCAAGGAAAAGGGGCGTGGGAAGCATTTCAGAAGGACCCTCCCTAGTTCTCTGGGGAGTAAAAGGAAAGGAGGGGAGGAATACTTTCAAGATTCTGTTAATGTAACCTTACAATAAAGATAGAGCCAGGACTCCTGGTCGTGCTTTTTGTCTCGACTTCCGAGCTGAACTAAGACCAGAGAGACGCAGGTTCAAATTTTCCCCAGCCGTGAAGCTCATGGGATGATCTTGGGCCAGCTGAAAAAAGTTGAGGGAAGTCATTTATAGAGTGTTGGTGATACAGTAGGACTGGAAGAGCGAAACTTTCTATGGATGGAAAAACCTGGAGAATCGGGAGGGGTTAATCTGCTATTGATGAAAGGCGGTCATATCAGATGTGCGATCAATTGATTCCAATTTACCTGATCCTGTTGGAGATTGTGTGCTTAGAAATCCTCACATGTGCTGGCTTTGTGTTTACAGAACAAACACTGCTTGCTTGAAGTTGGCATCAGCTGCACCAAAGATTTAATCAAAGCCAAGATATATCCCATTGTTCTCTTTATTAAAGTCTCAGAAAAAAATATCAAGAAGTTCAGGTATGTTGAAAGGGGCAGGCGTTGTTCCGTCCTAAAAGAACTCCTGGCGAGAGGAAGGAAATAAAGGGATTCCTCGTCTCTTGCAGGAATGTTGATGGGGGAGGGTCAAAAAAGTCAAAATGGCTGCAGCAACTGCACAAATGAACTCAGGTTAAAAAAAGTGTGTGTGGGGGGGGATGATCTTGGAGAGGCAGCTACCACCTTGATTATTTTCTCACACCCATCCCGGAGAGGCCCCTTCTCTTTTTTCAGGATTTGCACATCTGACGCTGTTTGTCCATCAGTTATTTCTTCCTGGTTTGGGAAAAAAAATGATACGATGGTGAATTTGGGGAAGAGGGCAAAAGTACCACCAGCCATGGTGCAACTGATGATTTAGAATCAGGCCTCCAGTTGTTACCAACTGTCCACCATGAATTATTATGAGCACAAACTGATTTCCATGGTATATCAATATAGACCAGTGTTTCTCAACTTTGTCAACTTGAAGACGTGTGGACTTCAACTCCCAGAATTCCCCAGCCAGCAT